TTGCATAATTCAATGTGACGCTGCAAATAAGTAAAAGTCGACGTCTGATTTGCTGATGAGGGAAATCCAGGCGTCGTTGGTGTTGATGTTGTAGGTGTATTTGCATTTTGTACACGGGGTTGGAAGAGTAAAGAATAATGATGAAATATTGTCTAAAATCATTTGACAAAACATTATTATTTCATGTTGAAAAGTATGATAAGAAATTTCACGAGGATTTCACATTCTGTGTGGTAATATCTCCGCACCTGCCAAAATTCTTGCTCCTCAGGTTTTCCAACGGCATCTCTTATGGCCGCTGGTCGAAAGTTTGGCTCAAATAACCATTGAGAATACAATTCTTTGGAAATTGCTGTTATTGACATTTCTTCCAATGGCAATGCAAATCCTTGTCCGATCGCCTCCATGACCCACTTAACGTGGGCCATGGATGGAAGAATGTTTGGATCATGTGCCTGAAGTAGTACTTGCGTTATCTCCTGTATAAGCACTTTTCGAACATTCAGAGGAAATTTCGACAACACGTTGCTTTCTGCAAAAGGAAAGATTTGAACCGTACGAAGGGATAAAGTTAAAGAAATCGATTGGCATGTTAGAAATTATTTTTTTTACCACGATTATGTTCGAGAAGGTTTAGATGGGAAATCCATTGCAAGAACATTGCGTAAATATGGGATCACAGGCCCCAATCTGGTGATTCTAGATCAGATTACACTATGGCAATTTTTTGTCTACTGAAGATCAGATATGTTAGCATTGGGCTCACGTTGAATGTGATTTTTTACGTAGGGCTTGCCTGAACACAGATCATACGTTTGGGGGTTGTTTAGACAGATTTTGTTCCGCAAAGACTCGAATTTATCGTTCATACAAGGAATAAATGGTAATTTCGAGTGAATCTCAGAGTTGCATGTTAAATAAATGATTTTCAGGTTGGTGGAAAATTTTTATGGTGCTAAAGTATTGAGGCTCTATTCGAAAGATGAATTGTCGATCAGAAATATTAGCATCAGCTTTTTGTGCACATTGAATGTGACACGAGTTCATGTCCCACCAGTTCAGATGAGCACAATAGATAGTATGGTAGATGTTGGATAATTGCCGCCTCAATCATTGTCCCGAAAAGATTATAAATCGTAAGCAAATCCAATAATGATGCTAATTAGGTGGCAAATTTCTGACATTGTGAATGCTATCCTTTTGTGAAAATAAACGCATCAGCACGCTTTAAACTATAATCAGCCTTCAATTGCAGAATTAATTCTTCGTCATGGCTACCGAAAGGTAAAAAAAAAAAAGATGCCATATCATCGAAAGAGTGGAATGAAAATCGAATGTAATTGACTCGAATCTTCAATCCGTTAATAGAAAAATTCTACTTCTCGGTTCTGGATTTGTTGCTGGCCCGGCGGTAGGGTACCTTTTGCGACGTCCAGAAAATCATTTGACTATCGGTATATTACTATCCTAGTAGTCGTTGCACAAGTATCTTTTTTGTGATTTATCATTTATTTCTGTCTTTTAGCTTGTAGACGCATTTCCCACGCCGAGGCACTTGCTAATCTATTTCCTCGAACAACTCCAATTGCTCTCGATGTAAACGATAAGCAAGCACTTGATGAAGCTGTCTCTAAACACGATTTGGTTATCAGGTGAAGGTTCTAATCTTTGACGCAACAATCAAGAAATGCAATTATATTAACATGTTCTCTTTGTCGCCAGCTTAATTCCTTACACGCATCATCCGTTGGTAATCGAATCGGCTATTAAATTCAAGAAGAATGTGGTTACTACCAGCTATGTTTCCCCAGCCATGAAAGAATTTGACCAAGCGTGAGTTTTCTATTTTATCCTATTACATTGAAAACAAACATTAACTTTACCTTGATTTTTAGTGCAAAAGAAAATGGTGTTACCATCTTGAATGAGGTGGGCCTCGACCCTGGTAAGAGGTTTATAAGGATCATGATTATAAAATGACTTACACGTAATTAATATGTCTTTTTTTTAAGGAATCGATCATCTTTACGCCGTAAAGACAATCAAGGAAGTCCATTCAAATGGTGGAAAGGTATAAGACTGGGGAATTTGATTTTGATACGGTAATCATGTTATATTTATTAAACCATTGTTCATTTAGATTGTTTCTTTTATATCCTACTGCGGAGGGCTTCCAGCTCCTGAAGCCTCCAATAATCCCCTTGGTTACAAATTCAGTTGGTCTTCTCGTGGTGTATTATTAGCGTTACTAAACTCGGCCAAATACTATCAAGATGGAAAAGCACGTTTCTGAATATATTGTGAAATTTGCGTTTTTGAAAAGGATTAACTAACAGTATACCTTTTATTCTGCAGATTGTCGAAATTCCCGGTCATCAACTTATGCAAGTTGCCAAGCCATATGCCATTTACCCAGCTTTCGCGTTCTTAGCATACCCGAATAGAGATTCCACTCCTTTCAGGGAGTTTTACAATATCCCGGAGGCTCAGACAATCATACGTGGCACCCTAAGATATCAGGTTTGTCAGAGACTACTTTCGTTTACCGTTCTGCTCATTTTGCTCAAATAAAATAATGTCCATTATAATAGGGTTTCACTAATTTTGTCAAAGTTTTGGTTGATATTGGATTATTAAGTAGTTCCGAACAGGAGTATTTAAGTCCAGACGCAACGGATATTAAATGGGTATGTCTTTCAGTTTGATGGAATTGGCATTATATACGTCTATTGAATTTTCTTAAAATGTAGAGGGACGTGCTAGCGAGAGTTCTTGGAGTAACCGACAACTCTGAATCGTAAGTTTTGTGGTAACTTCTATTGAATTCCTCAATTCACTTACTCATTTCTTCAATTTTTAGTAATCTTCGAGCTCATATTACTTCAAGAATATCCGGAATATCTGAAGAAGATATGGATAGAATTCTCAGGGGGTTCAAATGGATTGGGCTCTTCTCCGATAATAATGTTGAACGCAGAGGAACGTTACTTGATACACTATGTGCAACATTGGAGGAGAAAATGCAATATGCCGAGGGGGAGAGAGATATGGTCCTCCTTCAGCATAAATTTGAAGTTGAAACCAAAGATGGAAAAAGGGTATGACCTAATCACCTATTATGCCCGCTTAAACTTATTGATTACAATAATTATTGATTTGTTGTTTAACTACAGGAAATGTGGACATCAACTCTGTTAGAATATGGGAAACCACCGGGTCCATCGGCAATGGCCACCACAGTTGGCACTCCTTGTGGTATTGCTGCTCAACTTGTTTTAGATGGTAAGGAACAGATTTACAGATTACTGTTGTGGATATGCTTCCAGTAAATGTTTCTTATATGCGTAAATTTCGATCCTTTTTTTATATTCGTTAATAGGAGTAATTAACAAAAGAGGTGTTTTGGCTCCATACACACTAGAAATCATTAATCCAATAATCGAAAGTTTGGAAAAAGAGGGGATCAAAGTTATTGAAGAAAAAATGGAATATTAATTTATATTGAAAAAATTTTTTTGTACTAGCTCTTGCGGACCTTACATAAAGAACCTTTTCGCAACTCATGTTTGCATGTCATTGTAAAAATATTACTGTATAAGGATTTTCATTACTACAGTAGTGACTATGTAGTGCTTTATTTCATTTTTGCTCAAGAGTTCTATTAACTCAAGATACATGTTATTTATTGACTCTACTTTTGCTTGGAAAAATGTCCATTATGTTTATCTCATTACAGTAGCACTAACAATTTGAATGGTTTCGTTTAATACAAATTAATGTCCTCTATCGTTTTTATTTATATTTCCAAGTTCAAATTCTTTTTTCCACTCTTCATGATAAATGTAATGTACGTATGTGCATCAGTGGGTTTCAATCGTGCAATATCAGCTATAAGACGACAAGCGTTTTTTTTTTTTTTTAAACACTAACTTTGCGAATATGAAAAATTGTTAAGAAATTATGACTATTGAGCTTAATACGGAAATCTTTGCACCGAACGTTTTCTTTAATTATAACTAATCAATATATCAATAATAATATTCGATGACAATTTCATTTTTTAACGATTGCATCCGAAAATTCATCTTTTAAATCCCCGAATTCAAACACCTTTTCTTCATAACTTCCCAATGGACCTTATAACAATTCGGTGCACGACTACCGTTCATGAATTCTCTGACCAATGACCACTTAGCGCCATGAACTTCAACGGCTTCCATCAAAATATTCTCCTCCTCCTTTGTCCAAGGAGATCTACCACTCGATAAAATACTTTTTGTTCTGGATTTCTTTTTGGTTAGGTCAGAATTGCTATGGGGTTCTTCCTTTCCTTCTGTCAAAGTAGAATTTCCATTAGGCTTTCTTTTCCTTCTCTTTCCACTCAAGGTAGAACTTCCAATAGACATTTCTTTCTCTCTGGTAGTAGCAGACCTTCCATCGAATTTTCCTTTCTTTTCAGTCATAGTGGAGTCTCCGTCAGACTTTCCTTTCCTTTTCTTTTCGGTCAAGGCGGAATTTTCATTGGGCATTTTTTTCTCTTCAGTCGTGGTAGAATTTCCTGTGGAACATCCTTTCTTTTCGATCATTATTGAATTTCCGTCAGAACTACTCTTCTTTTTTTCAGTCAAGGTAGAACTTCCGCTGAACATTTCGTCCTCTTCGATCGCAGTAGAATTTCCATCGAACTTTCCTTTCGTTTCAATCACGTCAGAAGTATCTGCTGATGATTTATTAAATGCATTATATCTTTCAACAAGGGAAATTAGAATAGGAGTTTTCAAATTACTTTACCTTCCAGATTTATCGTCCTTTTATTAAATCGAAGTTTGGTAGAGGGTCTGTCCGAATCTGACCGCTAAATAATAAGATTTTAATTAAAAGATTAATGGTAAACTGAACGCTATACTTGAAATCATTTTATTTACTTCTGGCTTCCCACTCTTGGTTTTTTGTTTTAAAGTGGTTTTTGGCGAAATAGAGGTTGATGAGGATGCATGACCGTGGTATGTTTTGTCGTTCACGTTTTCCTCAAAAACTGAAGATGGGTTTTCGCAAGTATTATCTTGTTGAAAAAAGTGATTCTATCAAATAACAAATGGTTAAAAAAAGTGACCGACAAGCGATTGTTTAAAGAAAAAAGGAGAGAGAAATAAGATGCCGAATTCTTATTAAAAGTATGCTAAAATCCCCCTTTCATTCACTATAATTCCAATATTCACCTGTTCCTTCTCCTTCTCATAACCATCATCCGATATTTCAATGTATTGATCGAAAACTTCGTTCGATCCTTTTCCGCTCACTTTATCACCAATTCTGTCAAGATTCCCCTTTTTACACTTTTCGTTAGTCTCTTCGCACAACGTGAAACGGTTCAGGTAAAGTTGATAATTCATGCTTCTTTGGATGTATGTATTTGCATTAATCGCCGTCGTTTATTTCATTGTCCAAAGTTATTCTTAAACCGTTTTTATTTACGAACCTTTAAAGATTCCATTTAAGGAAAGCATGTTATATTAAATTTTCATGAATAATTTCGTGACCAGAAATTACGCTACGAAATGAAATGTGAAATGTAACATGATGAAATCAAACGCTCATAAATGGATGCGATTCATCCGCGAGAATAGATTGCGTAATGTCGAAGTAATATTCCGGCGGAAATTATGGCACGTGCGTATTTTCACATACCGATAAAGTCTCAGTACGAAGTTCCGCAATTTGCATAAATTTATGCAAAGGAAAATCTGTTATGCACGAGTTGATTTTTTTTCTTCAATCAATTTGATGCATCATTAGGTTGTTCACTGGAAATATATGATATATAAATCTGCCAACTTCAAAAAAGGACCGTACAAAATCTCCATCAATAAGATGATGACGCATCTCAAATCCTCTAATGTTACTTGCAGATTACCAACTATTATTTTCATTCACATCACACTCTTATTAGTTATCAATCTCGCCGAGACGCCACCACCTATTCCGATACCTGCTCACGTCCCGATCATTGGCGAAAATGCGCAAAATTCACCCGCCGGCATTTTTACACCGGAGCTAACAATAAACAAAGGCGGTGCCTTCTTACCAAATGGCGGTGCAATTCTTGCGGCTCCTATGCCCAATTGGGGGGAATTACCTGCGATCGATTCTCTAGGTGGACAAAGTTTCATCGATCCAAATAATATAGACAAAGGAAAGGAAATTAATCATGTATGATGAAATCAGGAATAGTCTAATGCGTGAATTATTAACTCTTTGTAATTAGACTTTATGAATTGTTACGAAAAATAATTCTTAAATGTAAATTAAGTTTACACACAAAGACAATAGTGACGTTGTAATAGAATCTATATAATAAATACTGCGCGTAAAGAATAAAGGTTTATGCTATCAATTATCTGGCGCGACAACAATGGCAGCTCCACACCCTGGCCGGGTTGCAAAAATGGCATCATCCAATTGTTTTTTGGTCAGGTGAGGAAACAGGGGCTTATAGTAATTCGC